AAAACGCGTTTACCAAACCAAGCAAACGAAAATAATATTACTCGCGATAATAATAAAATTCCATCTCTTTTCCTCTCTCCTCTTTTTTTCCCCGACCGGAATCGATAAACTATAAACTTCCGGTTTTTCCTCGTTTCCGCTTTTACCCCCCCCCCATTCCACCTTATTAAAACAACTTTTTCCAGCCGGGAAAGAAGGGGGGGGGGAAAAAAATAAAAAAAACTTTTTGAATTTGTTTTTTGTTTTAAAATTTATCCAAATTTAACAACCCTTAATGTGTGCGTGTGTGCGTGAGTGCGTGTGAGTGTGCGTGCATTAAAAGGTTCAAAAAAGGTTTTAATTCCTTTTTTTTTTTCATTTAAACTTTTATTTAATCTTAACCTCCCCTTTTCCCATTATTAGTTTTTAATCTTCTTTAATTTTTTTTCTTCTTCCCATTTTTTTTATTATTATTTCACCTTAGACGCTTACGTTTAACTTATGTGATTCGCGTTCATATCACAATTACAAAAAACCGATCATTTGTTTCCGTTCTCCATTATTATTATTATTATTAAATACTATTATCGCCTTACGCACGTGCAAGTTTCGTTTTAGTTTCGCGCGTGCGAAAAAAATTTGTTTCTGTTTTTTTAAATTTTTTAAAAGAAATAAATAAAAAATAATAATAATGATAATAATGAATTGTTTGGTAAAGGTTAAAGGTCATTTGTAAAATCGCCATAATAATGACCAAAAAATAAGGTAATAATGATGATAAAAATGTTGCTAATAAAAAAAAAGGGTTTGTTGAAAGAGAAAATGGCGGGAAAGAAAACGGAAACGGAAGTGATAGAATGGTGGGAAGGGAGGCAGGGGGAAAATGTCGAAAATAAGCAGGAAAACATTTTTGCATGTGTGGCAAGTAATAAAAATAAAATTTAGTTTATAGGAAAAAAAAAAAATATTTGAAAACGTTTCAAATTTTTTCGCGCGCGCGCCAATAAAAATAAAAATTATTGAATAAAAATTGAAAAAAAGGGAAAAAAAAATTTGTGTCTGGAGAAAAAAAAAAAAAAAATTCATGTTCGTTTGGAAAATAATCCTTGGAGGACTTTTTTTTTTAACGGGAATAGGGAAAAGGAAATGAATGGTCGGGGGGTGAAGGAGTGGGGGGAAAAAATTTTTCGGGAGAGAGAGAGAAAGCATTACATAAAAACTACTGGACTAAACTTTTAAAATAGTATTACGTGACTCGATTTAAAATTAATTCTGATTTAGGGGCCGATTTTCAAATTTTCATTTTATTTTTCTTTTTTTTTTCTTCCTCCACTACTTCTACTTCCTTTTCTTTTTTTCTTCTTCTTCTTCTTCTACCACGTATTAAGTGATTGTTTTAGTGTAGAGACAAGAACTTCACCGACGAAATCATTTTTAAAAAAAATTTTTTTTTTTTTCCTTCCCGCCCGCCATTTGTTTCTCGCTCTCTCTCCCCCCTTATCATTTTCTAAAACTTTTTTCAATACTCTTCTACTTCCGGTTGAAAACTTTTATTTTATAAAAACGAAATAAAATCAAAATTTTCAATTAGTCCCTTTTTTTAAAAAATTTTTGTTGTTGTTTTAACAAAAGTAGCTTAAAAATTTTCCTTTTCGGATCAAAAAAAAAAAAGTTTTTAAATCAAAACCGTTACGAATTTTTCCTTCCTCGCCCTTTTCCCCTCTTCCCCTTATTTTGGCGCGAAAAATTATTAACCGCACGTACGAAAAAATAATAATAATAATTTATAAAATTTCGCCTATTTTGGCGGGACATAAATTGATAAATTTCATAAAAATGTACGTTAATATTTTACATTTAACTTTTTTAGTGGGAAACAGGGGAGGGGGAGGGGGTAAATAGCCATTAAAATTTTTTTAAAAATACGATGACACCCTTTTCTACCCCTCCCTTTACCTCTAACTTTTCCTCGTTTTAAAAATTTAACGTTTGTGAAAAGATCGGGAAACTTAATAAAAAAAGAAAAAAAACCAAAAAAGAAAATTTTTTTTTTCTTAACGTCCAACCTTTTACTTCCGGTTAAAATGATTTTTTTTTTTTTTAACAATACAATTTTCCCTTGTGAAAAATAAAAATTTTCATTCGGAAACCTTTTTTCTTTTTTTTTTGGGGAGGAAACAGACTTGGAGAGGGGGAGAAACAGAGAGAGAGAACAAAAAAAAAAAGGTAAATGTGCAACAAATTTTATAGAGCGATACTTTAAAATGTTTTTATTTTATTTGGAAACCGCATGGAAACAAAACAAACGAACAACCTCAGCTTTGTTATAGAGAGAGAGAGGGGAAGGGAGAGGAGAGAGAGAAGAAAAGAGAGAGAGGGAGGAAGAGGAATAGGAATAGGAGAGTTAAAGGAAGAGAGGGAGAAAAAAAAAGGTTAAAATGAGTCTCGTGCCTTTTTCGTGTAGGCTCTATACAAAAAAAAAAAAGCAGAAGAAAAATTGACATTGAATAAATCAGGGCCGTACCCGTAGAAAAGTAAAAAAAAAAAAAAATTTTGCAAACGATTCCGATGGAAAATCCCAAAAGCAGTTAATCATTGGAGACATTTTGGATCTTCCCAAAATTTTACTTTTTTTTTTTTTTATTAACTGCTGGAGAAAAACAAAAAAAAAAAAAAAAACTTTTTTTGTTACGATAAAAAATTTTATCGGTTGTTGTTGTTGTATCGTATCGAATGATTTGTACGAAGAACATTCTAGAATAAAATCATCCCCGTGTTTTAACAAACAAACAAACAAACATCTACGACGAAACAAAAAAAAAATCTTTTTTTGTCGTCGTGTCGGTTGGAAATTTTCTTTTTTTTTTTTTTAAATCGTTTGTAAGTTGATGACGTGAAAAGTTTTACGTCATAATAAAAGAAAACATTTTTAACCTTAAATAATAATAATAATAATAATAATAATAAAATTCTCTGGAGAGAAAAAAAAAAAAGAAAAATGAAAATCCGAGATGAAAATTGAAAATACAAAATGAGACCAATAAAATGTATTGTTATGATAATTTCCAGATTTTCTTTTTATTTTTTTCTTTTTCTCCAGCCTCCCCCCCTCTGCCTCTCTCTCTCTTTCTTACTCGTAAATGATGGATTCATTTTACTGGAAAATAAAATTTAAATAAAAAAAAAAAGTTTTAAAAGAAAAAATTTTTCTTTTTTTTTTATTAAGTTGCCAACGTTAGAAAAAAAAAAAATTTTCTTTTTTTTTTATTTTATTTTCCTGTCGGATTTTTAACTTTTTCTGCGGCTGTGAGATTTTTCTGTTTTTTTTTTTTTTACAATTGAAAAAAATTATTTAAATGTCGTAGAAATCATGGAAAAAGTTTTTGCTGGAGAAAAAAAAAAGAAAAATTTTGGAAAACGCATCGCTGACGTCATTTTTTACTCTTTTTTTTTTTTTATTAATAACAAATAAGGGAGGAAGGGGGGGAGCCAAATCATTAAATTATTTCATAAAGTTACCGGACAATCTCAAAATGGGGGCAAAAAAAAATCTGGAACTGGAACTTTCTGGAACTTTTTTCCCATTTTAAACCACGATATCAATTTCTCACGTATAAAAAAAAAAAAATTCAACGGACGTTTTTCTCCATTAGTCATTTAGTCTCCTCCGTATTTGTTATCTTTCCTTGTCTTAGTTAAAACGTTTTTAAAAAGCTTTTCTTCCCTCCCACCCCTTCCTTCTCCTCCTCTCTCCTCACCTTTCCCCCTCCCCAACAACAAAGTTTCAAACTGGAATCTTTTCCAAACACACATGGATAACCTTTCATAGTCGTTTTATACTCGTCGTCACCATTTTTCTCCCCATTTTTTTCTTTTTTTTACTCGAATGATTTTTTACCAAGTTTCTTTTTTTTTCTTTTTCTAATTGGTTTCCATTTTATCTATCTCTATCTCTGTCTCTCTCTTTCTCTCTGTCTTTCTCTTTCTCGAGACTTTTTCTTTTCCTTTTTACTGTCAAGGTCTATTTCAAGCGTAAAATCTTAATCGTTGAAATTTTTTTTTTTTTATTTCTTAGTCACCGTTTTTCTTTTTTTTTCTCCAGTTTTCCAGTTTTTTTTTGACATTAACCCTTTTTAAAATCGTATTATTGACTTTAAAGAAATATGCTGACTTTGTTGTAAAAAAAAATTTTCTTTTAACTGGAGTTAACAATCTGGAGTAAAAAAATTAAAATTTATTTTTTTTTATGTTTGTTTTTATGTTGCCTCGTTTTGTTCGTGGTTATTTCTGAACGCACAACAAACTCCCCCAACTCTCTGATTTCTGGAATAATCGATTAACTGGAGAATTATGGAGAATTTAATCGAGTATCATCATCATCGTCGTCGTCGATTTGTTCTACATTTTCATTCCAATTTTCCACAAATTTTTTTTTTTTTTTGTTAAACACATAAATTAAATTTTAAACATTTAAAACGGAAATAGTAAAATTTCAGGTACACAAATTCCAGGAGACGAAAATCCTGATTTCCAGGATTCCTTATCACATCGTTTAATATCGTTATCAATCGTTTAAAAATTACAAAATAATAAGATGATAACTTTTTTTTTCAATTATTTGTTTAAAGTCCGATTGATCATCATCCTTTAAATCATTCAATCATTCCTTAGGGATCTAATAAAAAAAAAATCCTGGACAAGATAAACGATTAAATCCGACTCATAATTCATCCCTAACAATAATAATAATAATAATAGTAAACGAAAAAAACGTATAAAAAATAAATAAAAATTTATAACCGTATAAATATACATATATATATATATATATATTTCGAATTTATTTTATTAATAATAATAATAATAATAATGATTATGATTAAGATTACGACGAAGATGATGATGATAATTATGAGTATTTAAAATATATCGTAAAATATAACTATTAAATTACTTTTTTTTTTTTTTTTTTTTAGAAAAAAGAAAATATTTTCGTTTACGATTTCGCTCAGGTGACGAAGTTAACTGGACACCTGAGCGTTTACGGACTTTTTTTCTTTAAAATCCATGTGAAAAACTCGTCTCATTGTTTCCGGTCCGTTCCAATAACCCCTGTCAATCATAATAATAATAATAATGATTTTTTATTGCTACGTTAAATAGTTCGAAAAGTGTTAAAAACTAATACAAACCGCAGCATGAGATGCCAATATAGTAAAGGCATGATATTTTTCTTAAGGAAAAACATTAAAAAACTTTCTTTCGATTGATCGATCGGAAACGTTTCCAACGGTTGCATACTATAATCGAATTCCGCCAAAATGCATTTGTTATATCCGGTTATGAGAGGACAAGACGTGTAACCGTTATAAAAAGATGTCGGAGCTTGATCGGGATCGGACATGGCCAATAATAAATTATCGTATAAAACTCCACATTGACTCGCTAAAACAAATCAAAATTTTATCATCATCATCATCATCATCATCATCATAATTAATTAAATAATAATAATAATAATAATAATGATAATTACCGATGGCGGCAGCAGTTTTAGACGTTGGCAAATTGGCACAATCACCGATTCCAAAAATATTACGGAAAAATTTATGACGTAACGTATTTGAATCCACGTCTAAAAATCCGGCAGTGTCGCATATCATGGGACTGCAACGTAAAAATTGCGGGGGTCCCATCGGCGGAGTCACGTGTAAAACCGAATACTAATAAATAAATTATTATCATCATTAGTAAAAGTTAATAATAATCGTTTATTATTATTATTATTTATTGTTACCGGTACAGGCGTTTCGGTATACGTTGAACTATCCAAATTTTCAAAATACGCAATTTTCCTGTCGGGTTCGATACCGATAAGATTTGAATTTAACGTAACTTCGATACCGCGAGTTTTACAAATTTTCCACAGTGAGTCAGAATATTTTTCAACACCGAAAAGTTTACTAAGAGACGTATGATACATGAGACGAGCTTTACCACGTTTACCATTCTGGAAAATTATAAACAAAAAAAAAATTATTTTAAATATAAAGTATATAAATTTTATTTTACATAAATTAAATTTTTTATACTTTTCTCAAATATTCTTCTGCTAAATAGCATATTTTCTGGGGAGCACCGGCACATTTGATGGGTGTGTTGGGAAGAGTAAAAATTAAATTTCCTTCTTTGAATTGTTTTAACGATTCGTACGTTTTCCCAACGTAATCCGGCGAATAATTCGAACAAACTCCACTTCCGGGCGTGTTTAATGCATCGTATAAACCGGGGTATCTGTTTCGTAAGTAACGAATAATTTTTTTAAAATGGTTCGAAGAACTACAGCAACAGTAAAAAAAATTAGTCTCACTTTTGTGTAATCCGTTTTCAAACCGGCAGCAACGACAAGGAATTCATAATTTATTTTCATGCCATTTTGAGTTGTTACAAAATTTCCCTGCGGTTCGATTCTTTGCACCGAATCTTTTATCCATTCGGCATTTTTGGGTAAAACGCTTCCCATCGATTTTCTAGAATCTTCTAATTTTTTTATTCCTCCACCGATCAAAGTAAACATCGGCTGATAATAATGTACCTGAAAATTTACTTTAGTCGTTTTACTATTTCCACCTTTTTTTTTTCAAAATACGATGATGATGATACTGATTATTGTTTGTTTGTTTGTTTGCGACGGAAACGATCAATTTGTTAATAACGAAAAATTTTTTTTTTTTTTATGATGATTTTTTCGTCCTACAAACGACATTCTCTCTCTCTCTCTCTCTTTTCACGTTTAAAAATTTTTCCCAATTTAATAATAATTATTATTATTAATATGTTTGATAAATGACGTCATGTTGCGATTATTAATTGAATTTAACGTTATGTATAAATAAATAAAAAAAAAAAATTATTTATTATGTTGGGTTCAACAACATGAAAATTATATTTTTGTTTTTTGAGAAACATAATGTGTTTGTTTATCGTACGAAACATGTTTTCCCATTTTTCCAACGTTTAAAAAATTGATTAATCAATGATGATAATGATATTGATATCGATATAATTAAATTTTCAAGTAACGACAAAAACAAAAACGAAAAAAAAAAAAAACAACAACAACAACAAACGTTTTGGCATTATATTTATTAACTGTCGGTAAAATTTATTTGTTTGTTTGTTGTGCAAAAAAAAAAAAAAAACAAAAAAAAAATGAACAAAGTGAAAAAAAAATTTTCGAAATTATTTGAGTGAGTAAAAATAAATTTTTTTTTCTATCTCTTTTTCTTTCTCACTTTCTCTCTCTCACCCGCGTTTATTTTCATGTTTGAATTTGAAATTTTTATTATTGTTTGTTTGTTCGAGATTTGTTCAAACCGGTTTTAAAAAACACAAATCGTTCCAGGTCGCTTTACGGATTATTTTAAATAATAATAATAATAATAACTTACACATTGATGAACGATTTTAAACGATACAAATCGTCATTTTCACCCCCCTTTAATCCCCTAAAAAAAAATTAAAAATCGAGTAAGGTGGTAAACGCGCGCGTAATTTTCATAGGAAGTAACAAACAAACAAACAAGTAAACGATGCGTGTCAGGTGGGGAGTAAGATGATTAAATAAATGAAGATGCACACGCATATGAAAACAAATTCGTGACCTTGAAATGCAATGAATCAGCTGATTATTTATTTATTTGAACTTGATTTGACATATTTATCATACACGCCAAATATATATTTTTGGATTCGATTTAAATTTTTGTTTTGGTTGTAGTTGTTGTTGTTGTTGAAAAAAAACTTACGTCCGAGGGTTCGACGATGACCACATTATTTTTACCCAATTTCGAAGTTAATTTTGCTGAAATGCTGCAGCCTCCGGTACCACCACCAATGACCAACAGCTTCACGGATCTTTCTTTTGATTCCACCGAGAAATACCTTTCATTTTTTACGTTGTACGCCATTTTTTTTATATTTTTCGCGAGTTTCGACATCGTTTTCACGTCTCCCAAACATCTCGTTACAAATTTATAAATCATTATTACTCTTTTTTTCTCTTACTATTACTATTATTATTATTATTTTAACAAATACGTTACGCACGAAATAATTATTATATAATAATAATAATTAATAAAAATAAAAATATAAAAAAAAAATATTTAAAAAAAATAAAAAATAAATAAAACACGCACAAATTAATATTAAAAAATTTTTTTTTTTCACGAAAAAAAAAAAACAAAAAAAAAAACTTCAAACTTATTTATTTATTTAACTATTTATTTATTTATTAATTTGCCGAACGAAACATCCATAAAATTTTAATATAAAAAAAAAAAAAATAAAATAAAATGAAATAATATTAATAACAATTTAAAAAAAAAAAAAAAAAACTGGCCTTGTTGTTTGCTCTTTGTTGATGTTTAATATTTTAACTTGTGCGTTGTTGCCAGTTTTACATTCTTACGACACATAAACAACAAATAAACTTCGCGATGAAACCACGTAAATGTGACGTAATATTTCTCTTAACGATAATGACACGTTTAAATTTTCTCCCGCGCGCGCGCGATTTATTCGAATTTGTGGTGTGAGAGATAGAAATAAACAATAAGTCAGTCACTGGAATTTCTTTTTTTTTTCCAGTTTTTTAATTGAAATTTTAATTTTTTTTTTCAACCTGGAAGACTGGAGGAAGGTTCTGGAATTTTTCGAATCTTCAAAATTTTTCGTACCTGAAACATAAACGTAATTTTTATTTTCCTTCTTCTTCTTCCTCCTCTTGTCTTATGCGTTCGTATATTTATAAAAAATTTTCTACCACTGGAGAAATCGACTGGATAAATTTTTCATATTAATAATTATTATCGATTTTAATTTCTCCAAAATTATTTCCCAGAAGGAAGGGGGGTGGGAAAAAAATAGTTTTCCAAAACAAATTTCATAAACACAATTGTTGCAACAATTTCAAACGATTACTCACGTTTCCTTCGGCGGCCCCCCTAAAAAAAAATAATATTTATAATAATAATAATAAAATTTTTTTACGAAATTATAATTATCGATCTCGACTATCGATTTTATTGATTTTATTATTACTATTATTATTTAAATACTCGGCGACCGGAAAATAAAATTAGTATTTTCGAAAAATTTGAAAAATTTTTTTATTTAGGACAAACATTCACACAATAAAATTTAGCCGTTGGAAATAATTACCAAAAAAAAAAAACGTGCACGTGTATCCACATATATATATATATATATATATATATATATATATATATATATATATATATATACACGTGCAAATACGTGACCGGTCAAAAATCGAATTTTTTCCTAAGTGAATAATATAATAAAAAAAAAATGGAAAAATTTTACGGGTATAATAACAATCAAACGTATACGGAAATCAATGTTAAACGTATAAAACGGTGAGTGATTTTTTTTTTTTCAAATAATTTTTTTTTTTACCTGCGATGACGTCACAGTTTTTTTTTTCCATATCGAATTTTCTAGAAATTATGATTAGAGATCACACAATAACGACACAAATTTTTATTGATTTATTCACTCGTTATATTATTATGTTTACAAAAACAAAACAAAGGTTTACGCGGGCGTGTGTTTAACGCGCGTTTTGATAAGGTTTATGTTTTAACAAAACAATAAAAAAAAATTGCATAAGTTCATCATTTTCTGCATTGTTGGTGCATGAATGCAATAAATAAAAACCCGTTACGTAATTGAAATGGAAAAAAAAAAAAAAAAGAAAATCAGGGGTGGTTAAAAAACCGATGCGAACCCGAACGGAAACGGAAACGGGAACGAGAACGGTGTCTTCCGATAAAACAAATCCCGTTAAAAATTAAACAATCCGAACGGCTTTAAAACAAAAACTATCAAAAAAAAAAAACAACATAACGGAAAACTTTTAAAAATAATAAAAATTAAATTATTGATAATAATAGTAATAATAATAATAATAGAAAGACGTTCGTTCGATTCGATAATAATGATAAGTCAGCAAAACATTGGCGGTGAATCAAAATGTAAGAAAAATTAACGAAAAAGGAACGAACGGATTTTTAAAAAAAAATACATAAATGTACTAACTAACATGATGATGATGATGATTCCGAAAGCAGGGCTGACAACCCTATCAGAAAACAATCTTTTATCATGACGAATGTCGTCTTCGTAGACAAGAGAAAGAGAGAGAGACAGAGAGAGAAAAAGATAGATAAAAAAACATTATCACTCTCCATTATAACAACAATATTATTATTATTAAACGTTTGTTGAACGAAAGAAGAAGTTATTTAATTAAATTATAATTTTTTTTTTTCTATATATATCAGTCGTTATTTATTATTATTATTACTAAAGTTTTTATTTATTTATTTAATAATAATTTTATTTTATTTATTTATTTAATTAGTTAAAAAAAAAAAATCGATTTGGATTTAATTTTTTTAAAAAAAAAACAAAGTTTATGGCTATAAGACAGTAAGCATATCATTATTCCTATTAACATTATTATTATTATTATTATTATTATTATTATTATTATTATTTTTTTTTATTTATTTATGTATTAATAATAATTATTAACATATTATTAATTTGTTAATAATTATTACGTGTAAGTAAATAATATATAAATTTTCATTTTTTTTTTTCAATTTTATTAATTAATATTATTATTATTATTATAATTATAATTATTATCATCATCATCATTATTATTAACCGAACGCTTACGTGTTATTAATCATTCAGCATGTATTAATAATAATAATAATAATAATAATAAAAGATGATAATTTTTATATTATAACGTTCGTTCGGCTTTTTAAAAATTTTTTATTTATTTATTTATTTATTGATTCAAAATGGCGAATATAAATAAATAAAAATTAAAAATAAAAACTATCATCATCATCATCATTGTTATTATTATTATTATCATCATCATTATTATTATTATTATTATTATCATTATTATTAATCATTATATTGAATTGAATTTGATCTTTTTTGAAAAATATTAACTGTAAAAAACGTTTTACGTCACAGAACAAAACTTTAAATAATAATAATAATAATAATTTTTTGTTTATTAAATATTGCTGTCGGAGATAATAATAATAATAATAATAATAATAATAATAATAATAATAATAAACAAAATTTATCGAAATCGATAGGTTCAAAAAGTTCAAAGATAAAAAAAAAAAAAAAAAAAAAAAAATTTTTTTGTATTAAATTATTTGCAAGATATTATTATTATTATTATTATTTTAAAAAGGATGAGTTTAACGTAACGGATTTAGTTCGGGGGTCATTCGCAAACATTTTTCAGAAATAATAATAATAATGATGACGATGACGATGACGATGATTGTTGGGGGGAAACAAAAAGAAAAGAAAAGAAAATTTTTTTTGTTTTCGGGGAAAAAACGTTTTAAATAAAAAAAAAATTATTTAAAAATTCGTTGATACGTTTCCGGTTTTAATAATACGGAAAAGTGTCGATGGGTGGAAACAAACGAACAAACAAACAAACAAAACAAACAAACGATAAATGAAGTAATTTTTAAATTTTTTTTCCAGAGTATTAAAGCTTAAAGATGCAAAAGCTTCAAATTTGCTTCGTTTGTCATCCCTTAAAACATTCAAGGTATTTTTTTTGATTGTGCGATTGTTGTTAAAACAAACAAACAAACAAAAAACCGTTAAAATTAATTTTTAAAAAAATTTTTAATTTAGTTTTCAGATCTTGAAGTACAATTGGGCGGACCCGATCAATTACAACCGAAACCGAACGTTGATCAATTGGAATTTGGCAAACATTTTACCGATCATATGTTCACGGTTCAATATAAGGATAAAGTAAACGGTTGGCAAAAACCTAAAATTGTACCTTTGGGTAACATAAGCCTACATCCGGCATCAAAAGTTCTTCATTACGCAGTCGAGGTTTGTCATTCAAAAAAATCATTTCCCTCTCTTCCCCCTCCCTCTCCCCTCCCCTTTCCCCTCCTTAAACGTTTCCGGTAAAAAATGTTTAAAGTCTAAAAAAAAAAAAAAAAAATAAGATATCAAAATTTATGTCAACGTTTTTTTTTTCCTTTTGCACTTTGCCAAAAATTTATTACCCCAATAATAATAATAATAATAATAATAATGATAATGTTAAAGAAAAAAAAAAACTGACAGAATTATGTGAAAAGGTTAAGTTCATGACGACAAAAACGACAAAAACAACAACAACAGCAAAAAAATTCAATTAAAAGTGGGAGTTTGGGTGACATGTGTCAAAATCAATTATCACACACACATTATCATCATTATCATTATCATCATCATCATTTTTTTTGTCTTCTGTTTTCTTAAACCCGTTTTGTTACGTACGTGGTAGTAGATAAACAATATTTTTCTTACTCAATGAAAATTACATTTACGCAAACACAGACAAACTGACTGACTGACTGATTTGAAAAAGGTTAACTTTTTATGTAAACATACGTGTGTGAAATCTTTTATTGGTACGTCAGCAACAACAACAACAACAACAAACAACAAACATCAAACAATAACAAACAGCATGAAATAATTTTTTTTCCTTTTTCCTATAAAATTTATCTCACGTTCTTTCATGAAATTAACGACAAAAAAAAAATTTTTTTTTTTTTACGATTCGTTCGATTTTTTAATATTATTATCATTATTATCATCATCATTATTGTCATTATTATTATTAATATTATTATTATTATAAATAATAAATTTTTCAGTTATTCGAAGGAATGAAAGCGTATAGAGGAGTAGATGACAAAATAAGACTTTTCAGACCGGATTTAAACATGATAAGAATGAATCGTTCGGCCGAAAGGTCAGGTCTGCCAACATTCGATTCCGAAGAAATGATTAAAGTTCTTTGCCGATTAATACAAATCGATCAAGAATGGGTTCCACATTCCGAAACATCGAGTTTGTATATAAGGCCAACGTTGATAGGAACAGACGTAAGTATTCGGAAATAAGTTCAAGGTGGAAAAAACAACAACAACAACAACAAACAACAGGAGAAGGAGGAAAAAATGTAAACAAGTGTTAAAAATTTACGTCAATCGACTGTTTGTTTGTTTGTTTTTTTACGAAAGCGCGACACAATTTTTTTTAAAAAAAAAAAAAACAAAATCCTTGAATGTTTTTTTTTTTGTGTTTTCCGGTGAAATTGTTGTTTTGTTTTAAACATAAACATTTACGTAACAATTTCAATTAAATTTATGAGCTCCCCTCTCTCCCTTTCATTTTTATTCTTATTCGGCATTGACACTGACATTCTAAATGATTTTATTTTTTAATTGTCCTTCCCCCCTTTAAGTAAGGAACAGACAACAACAAACAAATGTCACGACAATTTTTGTTTGCGTTTGTTTTTTTTTTTTTTTCCTTGCATAACCGAAAAACTAAAAGAAAATGTCTGAATGAGTTTAAAAATAAAAAAAATTTTTTTTTTTTTCCGTCACGATATCTTTAAATTTTTTTTTTTTTTTTTTTTTTACTGAAAAACAAACGCCAGAATCAAAAGGTCAATATGGAGTCAACAAATAATAATAATAATAATAATTTCCAAACGAAATGATATCGACGATGGTTTTACCTCCTGTCACGGTTTCCAAATCGATTCTATATTTCGATTTGTTTGTTGTTTGTTTTTTTTTCGTTTTGTTTTGTTGGTATTATTAGAATTTTTGTGAAAATTTTATTCGAGAGAGAGATGGAAAATAATTTAAAATTAATTTTTTTTTTTTTTTCAGCCTGCTTTGGGAGTTATAACATCCGAATCGGCATTATTATTTGCAATATGTTCTCCAGTCGACAGTTATTTTTCTGGAGGATTTAAATCCACGTCACTTTTAGCAGATCCTAGATATACGAGAGCATGGCCTGGAGGTTGCGGAGATAGAAAAATGGGTTGCAATTATGCTCCAGCCGTAAAAATTCAAGTTCGTACGCCATTTTTTTTCCCCCCTCCTATTTAAAAAAAAAAAATTTTTTTAAATTTAAAAAATTTTTTTTTTCAATTATCCAGCGTCAAGCCGTCGATCAAGGACTTCAATCCGTTTTGTGGTTGTTCGGTGAAGATGATCAAATCACGGAAGCTGGAACTATGAACATATTTATTGTTTTAAAAAATGAAAATGGAGAAAAAGAATTGGTCACTCCTCCACTCTCTGGTCTCATATTACCCGGAATAATAAGAAGTTCCGTTTTAGATTTGGCAAGGGAACACAAAAGAACTTTAATTTCTGAAAGAAACATTAACATGAAAGAATTAATTTACCATTTGGAAAAGGGTCGAGTGAGTTGATACAAAACTTTTACCCTTTCTTTTAACAAAACTCAAACTCAATAATAATAATAATAATAAATTTTCAGTGTTTGGAAATGTTCGGAGTGGGTACGGCTTGTGCTGTTTTACCAATAACATCCATTTTATACAAAGACACACTTTTAGAGATACCAACACTCGAACAAAAAGATAAAGAATTCGAATTTTACTATAAGATTTTAACGAGCATACAATATGGACACGTCGATCATCCCTGGGGTGTTTGCATAGACGATTATTACAAAAGCGAAATCAAATAATTATCATTATTATTATTATTATTATTTTATAGTTGTAACTTTTATGTAAATACGATCTGAAATTTTAATCATTTTATAGCTACAGCTAGCTATAAATTTCTGCTATAATTCTTTTTTGAAGATTTTAAAGTTCGAATTCACGCGAATTATTATTTTTTTTTATTTATTTCATTTGTACAAAAAAATCACGATATCATTATTAATTATTATTATTGTTATCATCATCGTTTTAATAGTATAAATGTTAGATATATTATTATTATTATTATCATCAATGTGGTGAAATCGTATTTTTGTATATTGTAAAAATATTTAAAAAATTAAAGAAATTTAAAAAAAAAAAAAAAAAACTCCCGTTGTGAATATAATAATAATAAATTTATTGCCGATTTATTATTATCATTATTATTATTAATAAGAAAAAAAAATAATAATTTATTTTTTTTTTAAATTTTGTTTTTTGATAACATTCAAATCGAATAATGATAATAATTTGAATGAATTTTTTTTTTTTTTAAACGGGTTACTATAATGCCACGTGTTTGCGTTTGTGTTTGTGTTCGTGTTTGTACGCGCACTTACTAAAAAAATTATTTATTTATTTATTTATTAATTATTTAATTATTAATTATTAAAAAAAAAAATTTTTTTGAACGATAGCGTCAGCAAAAACCAAAGCGCGACGGGTATAACCATGTAAAAAAAAAAAACACGTGGGGAGAGCATAACACGTGATAAATATTATCATCATCATCATCATCATCATCATCATCATTATTATCATTATTAAATTAAAAACGTGTAAGACCTGTTATTAATTTAGAACATTGATAATCGTTAACGATTAATTTTTATCGAAATGAAAAATAAGCGATATTACATAAAAAATAACTTTTACGTTAATTGATTGTTGTTGTTGTTATACGACGACAACAACATAAAAACACAACCGCGTTTATGTTCGTCAACACTCTCATCATCATCATCATCACCGCGATCATCATTTCTATTAAAATTTTTCATTTTTTCGCGTGATTTTGTACGAGTTATTTATTTAAAAGTTAAAATATTGCAGACAACTACGGACCACTCCCCTCACCCCACCCCCACCCCACAAAAAATACGAAGATGATGAAGATGAAGATGATGATGAAGAAGAGAAAAAAAAAAGTTTTGAAATCTTTTATATTAAACCGTAATCAGAAAATCATTTTCTGATAAATTTTCCCCAAAACTTTTGCCAAGAAGTAAAAAAAAAAATAAGGGGAGGGGGAGGGAAAGAACTCAACTTAGAAATTAACCTTTTTGTTGCTGTTTACACCCTCTCACCCCCCCTCGCTATGTCCCTCCCCCTATTTACTACCCTTCGCTTAAAATCCATCCCATTTCATCCCTTTTAATTTATCAAAACATAATTATTTTCTCATAAAAAAAAAAAAAAACTAACTTTTTGCTAACCGTTTTGTTGTTTTCCTCTTCCTCCTCTTCCTCCTTCTCTTCTTCCCCTTTCCCTCCTCCTTCTTCCTCTTCTTTCATTTAATTACAATTATTTTAAACATAAATTATTGTTTATGTAATCCAAAACAAGGACGCGACTTTAATTATTACTATAAATTATTATAACGTAAACTTATTTTAATGGCGAAAATTTATCCGTAGTCATTTTATAGCGAAATGCGTTTGCTACCGGACAAAAACCTTTTAAATATTTTTTATATATTAGGCACCGAAGGTATATCACATCGCGGGAAAAGTACCGACAACAACAACAACAACAACAAACATCTTTGGCAAAATAAATTTATTGGTTTGGATTTACTAATCATATCACAATATTACAGCCAAACAATTAAAATAAATAAATTTTTTTTATTAATTAATTATTATTATTATTATTACTATTATTATTATTATTGTTGTTATTATTATTGATTATTAGACCCCTTATGGGACATT